TCGTAAACGCTCGCAGAGCTTAGCAGTGGGCTTGGAGTGCTTTTGGGGACGGGAATCTTTGGGGACGCACTTTGATTGGTCATAGTTATGGGCCCATTGTTTATCTTTTTTGTACTAGCAGCGCCTTCACCTGCGCCATCAACTCATAGTTTAGCGGTAAAATCTCACAGTTGCATTTGTTATTGTATGTAAGACGAATGCAAGGAGCGTACCAGAAAGAGTGACACAAAGGGTGTTATTTTCCATATATGAATCGGGATGTGTATCTAAAAACACGCTTGAGTGAGGTTTCTGGGCCAAACACAAGTGCAATAAAGTGTAATGATATGGAGGGATCGATTTTCAAGGCTTGGAAAAATTTGCTCGACGGACAAATTCTCGACGTGGTGACCTTTTGAAATAGTTCAGCACTTCTGAGAAAGCTGACGTATTTCCTCCTTCTTCCTACTGAAGAAGGTTATCGCCACTGCAATGCTGAAAATACGCATTACAAAAACTACTCAGTGTTGAGGCAGGGTGTACGAAACCTCATAGACACCACACGAAGAGTGGATGGGGGGAGGGGAGATGTATCAGGCGCGAAGGGTGCACAACCCTAATACCTGATCTCGTTTAGAGCACACGATAGCGTAGCAAAATTTTCAGGGCAGTGGTCACGATAATTTCATGCCATTAAAATATGAAGGTGGGGGTGTTACATAGTGAAGAAGTGTCGAGAAAAAACCAAGGGGAATCGTCGAAAACCCGAGAAATGAGCTCTTACGATTTTTTGAGAGGGCAAACTCACTTCTGAGATGTAACGTTTGGGTTGAAATTGTACAGTCATCTTGGGTGATAGTGATAAAAGACACGTCATGACGTTTTCAAACATAGCAGGAATGGGGCCAGTTCGAGCAAGGCTAGCTCTTACGACTTATAGGGATCATTGTGATCTTTGCTCTTTAAACAACGGATACGACAGTCAAAAGTTTCGGATTTTATCGTTGTATTCACACACTTGTTAACTCTAATCGATTCACCACTTCACCCGCACATAGGTGTTGCGGGGATACAGTGCAACAGCGAGGTTTCAGTTACGTGATCATTTTTCAAGGTGCAATTTTGATGGATCTCGGACGTATGGAAGATGCAGAAAAAGTATACCGCCAACTTATTGACCGAAATCCAGAAAACATTGCTTATTACGATAAATTGGAGATTTGTCTTGGGCTCGGAGAAGGTATGCAATGTTATTTTTTTCTATTCAGTAATTGCTTGCTTAATCTGAATATTGAATATTCGCCGTTTTATGAAGAATTCTAATGATAGCAACATCATTTGCCATGATTCCTGTAAGCTTGTGTTGCAATGAAAGCTCTTTTAAAATCATTATGCGATGAACATCTTGGCAAATACCTAATCCGATATATACACGTATATCGCCTCGGCATGTGTAAAAAAAATTACAGCATGGGCTTACCATGGTGAGTGGAATCCTTGATTGGGTTGTTGCGGGGGTCTTTATCCGAACCTTTTCTACCACGTAAGGAAATCGTCATGCCAATTAGCGCTGCGCCAACATGACTGCATTCCATACTAGAGTAGTTACATGGACGGGAGATCTAGCGAGAGTCCCCGAGGGTTGGATTCAGATAGTATCGATTCTATTGAGGGTAACTGCGCTTTGTGAAGTAGCGTTTCGTGGAATTTCCAGATTTTCACTTTATTCTTCTAATGTACGTCTGTGAGCGTAGAAAAGTGCTTACGAATAAGCTCAGGGACAGTCTTTCCATAATCACAAATGCCTGGTTGAAAAGTTTCGAGTATGTATTGGTGGAAAAGTATTTGCATTGAGTGTCATTTTAGGAGCTCCTATTTCTGAACGTGTATCAATGTACGACAGTTTTGCTGAACGACATAAGCGAGCGGCAGCTCCACGGCGTCAGCCTTTGTATCTTTTGGAGGGTCTAGAGTTGAGCCGCCGTCTCACGACGTGGATAGTCAAGCGACTCGAAAGGCGTACCAAGTCTCTTCAAAGAACTGTAGGTTCCTCTGCTATGACACAGCACAAGGTATCCTAACTGTTTTTGCCTGTATTTTTTGATTTATGGCCTTATTGTGTGGTGCAAAGATTAGTTTTTAGGTCGCTATTATTGAACAGTTGTTATTGGATTATGTCAAAAAAGTTGAGAATAATGGTTACAGAGGTGGCTCATTCCATGGTTTGTTTACTTACTTCATTCCTATTTATAAATGATGCGTTTGCAAACCAGTCTCTACGGTTTAGGTGACGAAGAAGAAATGGAGTCTCCAACTTCCGCACTTTGGCTGTACCTACTGATTGCTCAACATTTCGATCGTGTGGGAAATATCCCGGTTGCATTTTTTTTGGGAAAAAAAAAGTGTGACGGCCGGAGTGTGCTTTCGCCCATACACCGACTTTGATAGAAACTCTTATGATCAAGGCGAAAATATACAAGGTGAGCGGATTTGGGTTTCCTCCGTGTTATTCTACCTTTCCTTTTTTTCAAAAAATGAAGAGTCACTAGTTATACTTTTAACAATGAGGCACGTTTTTCCACAGATGAATCCTTTTTGTGAGTTTCTCGCTAGAAATTTTTCCATCCAGCTAATGATTACTTATTTTGTTTCAGCACGCTGGTGACTATTCCGAGGCTGCTAGGCTTATGGATGAAGCCCAGTCATTAGATACTGCAGATCGATATATCAACAGTAAATGTGCAAAATATCTTCTGCGTGCAGGACAAAGGGAACGTGCTGAGAAGATGTGCGCGAAATTTACCAGGGTTTGTTCGTTCGTTCTCATTACTGGAAATCAAAAGGAGACACCGCTCTTTATTTGGCGTTCTCAATTCTTTCGCATTCTCGAATATAATCCACAGGATCTCTGTTCTTAGGAAGGTGACAGGGCGTCAACAACTTTGAATGAAATGCAATGTATGTGGTACGAATTGGAATGCGCAAGGTGTTTCCTTGCAGAAGGTCGATACGGTGATGCATTGAAGAAAGCACATCAGATAGAACAGGTATGTATTTTTTTTATTTTGTGTGGATTTTCATTAAAAGCGTCAATTTGAGCACTTCGTGGGCATGATCGAAGATCAGTATGACTTCCATACTTATTGTCTGCGAAAGGTGACGCTGTGTTCGTATGTACAGCTGCTTCGTCTTGAGGATGTTCTCCGTACTCACGATTTCTACTATCAAGCTGCTAAAATTGCTGCTAGGGTGGGCATAATTTCATCTCAGTCCTTGTTGTTTCTTGGGCGTTTACCTAGCTGTAGTGATTCGTATGGTCTTCAGATTTACTTGCGGATGGTAGATCGTCCACAAGATTTCACGGGTGCTGGTCCGGTAGCAGACGGTCTTACCGCCGCGGAACTGAAGAAACTGAAAAAGCAACAAAAGAAGCAACAAGAGAAAGAGCAAGAGCAAAAGAAGAACACTGGGAAGGTGAGTTTCTGTAGATCTCTTAAAATCTGGTTGATTTCATTTGATTTGATTAATTTTCCTTTTGCAACTTGTTTCAGAAGGATGAATACACTAATCCGGCTATGCAGTTCGACGCAGAAGCGCTGGTAAAAACACAGAAGCCATTGGACGACGCTGCTAAATTTATTCAGCATTTGCACATGCTTGGAAGTAAACACGTCACTGCGTACAATCTAGGATTTGAAGTGTATCACAGAAAGGTTTCTTTTACTTGAAATTTTCAAGAATTTTTGTCTTGGTTTTGCCAGTTGACTGGTTCATGTGAAGGAGAGAAGGTTGCATGCGTTGGGTGCAGCCATCCATCGTATTTTATGAGTTTCACATCGTTCGATCATAGGTGCAGTTCTTTGATGAATGCGCGCATCATCTCTCATTACTCATTGTCTTTCGAAGTTACGTGATGATAACTGATGACGTGGATTGGTTTTCTTGTTGATTCTAAAAATTACTTTTAAGAGTTGAGAAGTGTTTGAGATACATATAATTTCCTCGGTTATTGTCACACTATTCAGGTTCGTGCCCAGTGTAGTTTGGCTGACTATAATATAAGGAGTATATTTATGTTTTTTTTGTTCAACTTTGCGATTTCAGCTCTGCAAAATGGGTTGCATTTAAGCTATTTTCATTTGGCTATTCAGTGATTGACATGATTTGGAACTAGTTACTTCATGAGCTAGTTAAAACATGCTAAGCTATGCTCTATTTTTCGTCTTGCAACAACATTTTTTTGTATTTTACAGCAGAAGCCGTTGCTCATGCTCAAATGTTTGAAGAAGGCTGCTGATTTGGACGGAAACGATCCATATCTTCACGTATGCCGCATCAAATTTTTGAAATACGGTGATTACTTATCCTTTAATCAGATCAAAATGATCTGTTTCATCGGGAACGGCTCCTTCTACTTCACTGTTTATTCATGACGACTTTACAGAGGAAACGGCGACCTTCAGTGGGGTCGTCGGTGATCTGGTAAAGGAAACTTCGTCTCAGCTTTTTCCAATTAACGATCCAGCGGTACTCAATGAGAATTTCAAGAACGACAACGTGAACAGCTTGCGTCACCGTTTAGCAGGTATGTAATTTCAAACGATCGGGATTCAAACATGAAGTCCTTTTTTATTGTTTCTAAGGATTTTGGTTGGGTCCTTCAAGGTTAAGGTAGTCACACTGAGCTTTTATGAGTTTTTCGGCCGCACGTAGTGTGTTGCGTCACCACCCACGGCTTATTCACCGCCGCCCACTTAGACAGTAAAAAAGAGTCACTTTACCAATGGCGCACATCACAAAACTTTTCGTCGCATAGGGTGCCGCTGTTGGTGAAACTTTTTCGGCAAAATATTTCCTAGACATTCCTCTATGTGCAGATGCTGGCCACTTCCACTGCCGCTCATCGTCCTTTAATATATGACGTCGTCTGCCACCACGCTCTATTCACTAGGACACCCCTAATTGCTCCGCGTCTTGGTTGAATGGATAATTTCTTTGGATAATTTCTTGAATCTATTCACTAGTGGATAGTTTCTAGATACAGTAGCTATTACGGTAGCTTTAGCTGTGCAAAACCCCTTCCGACCCACATTTCCGATAACGTCGTAATGACCCACGTACCGTCGGATACCTCGTTGAGTTCAAGCCGTGCACCGTGTCCGTTGGAAAATCTTCTGATGCCGTGGGTGTAGAGAACTGCAATGAAGTTTTTTGTAGACTGGAATGTGCCTTTCAGTATTCAGTTAGGTTCATTTGGTTTGAAGTTATCAAGGTATAATTACAGAGTTCAACGCATGCGAGAGTGACTCTTCTTTATTGCCCCCTCCCCTTTATAATTTTCACCAACAGTGTTAGTTTGCAAAGTTTCATTTCAGTGGCTGAGTGTAACATAATCCTTGATCCCGGAAGCGAGTCAACCACGAAGAATTGGATAATGAAGTCGCTGGAGGATGAAAAACTTACTGGCCGAACGCTGAAGACAGTAGTCGGCCTTTACAACGGAATTCAGTATGGAAGGTTTGGAACATGGAGCAAAGAGGAGGTTAGAAAATTCTCTGCTCAGTCATTTTAAAGTAGCGACTCTATTGTGTTCAATGCTTTATTACTTCCAAAAATGGAAAGTCCAAATATGGAAAGGAAACATTCTTGCGCAGTTTTTAGTTAGGACATTCGAGCTGTGTAGATCATAAGCGTGATATTACAAACTAATTTTGAAATCTTTCAGTTGGATACTTTCGTTCGACAAGCCCGTTCACTGTTTCCACAAGCGCAAGTCTTTGGTGGGGGATCCTCTCCCGTGATGACTCCTGTGGATAATGAACAGCCGTGTGCCTCATAAACAGCTCATCCGCTATCACCTCTAATGTCCTCAGTTTTGTGTGAAATCGGTCACAACCACTTTCACCTTTGCATGGAGCTTTCCATTGTGTTAGAATGCTTATTTCTGTATGAATTTTATGCTGGGTTTCTGACCACTATGCCTTTGACTACCGTGTGGTCTGACCAATTGTTGACGGTAATCATTTCATACGATGTTCTTGATTGTTTTATTAATTAATTGTTTTTTGTTATTCACCTATACTCACTCAGTCGTATGCCTGACTGGTAATGGTGAAAAGTTTTTTTTTACAAATATACGGAACCCATAGGAAATTTATCGATTTTTACTCGATCTGTTTTTTTTTCTGCGCTATGCTGCCTGCTTTAATGGAGCGGGTAGATATTTCGTAGAATATCGCTCAAGTGTTCTTGATCGGCAGCGTGTTCTCGCCCGAACACTCGTTTAGGCTGATTCGCGTTACATACCCTTAGAGAATTGGAGTTACTCGAGCATGTGCTTGCGGTTATTCCTTTGACACCTCCGAGTTAGTCATCTAGGTCATCATTTGTTACACTTATTGTGATTAGATGTTCAGTCGTTAAGCATTTGCTTGTTTTTAATGCTACAAAGTCTTCTATATAAATAGTGTATGTGAATGTAACTAGCGTGTAATGCGCACTCATATTGCGGCGATTCAATTTTGTTCCTCAATAACCATTCTGCGATTAAGATTCGATCTCTTAATGACCGTAGAGTCAGAGTCGGAATACGAAGACCATGGTACGCTCTCTTTCTCCTTATGTAGGTATACATCTACAGTCTAGTTGTATTTTAGATGAGCATGAAAACGGTAGACGAACACCACCACTGCATAATGATTGTGATTTCTATGGGATCTACGAATCGAAGGAGGTTCGCTTTGTTTAGTGAGGGATGACCTTTTGTCTATCCTTGTCGTTGTCGTCTTTCATATATTGATTAAAAACTAAGATCTTTATTCTGCTCCAAACTATTACCAGCTTTATGTCAGGTGCTGGGAAGAGGGCTAGCTTCTGTTGTTCGAAAGTGCGTTGAAAAAGCCACTGGTCAGATGTATGCGGTTAAAGTAGTCGATATTTCAACAGAAAAACAATCTGAAGTGAGTTGTTAATTGTCTTCTTCGCTTTCTCAGTTACCTTGGGATCGGGTCATACTTTGAGGTTTGTAATTAGATTACGGGTGGATTCGTGTAGATTGGGCGATCACATTATCGTCACACCTACTCCACACACTCGGACTGCAAACCAAACTGCAGAGTGTGATCCGACGCGCCCGATTACTCTTGAGCCGTATTGTATCCTTCACTCCGGAAGGGTAACATCGAAGAAGCTTCTCCCTTCTCCGACCTAAGCCCTCCTCATCTTTTGCGGAGGATTTGCTTATAAGACTCGCCATTCTAGTGGACAGAAACACTTCACGAGACGACCAACAATAAGCTAAGTTAGCAGAAGATAACTGTGAACAACCGAGAAAACTCGCTTCCACAGTGCACGACGAGTATTTGCGATACGTGGGTTGCGGCATGGGTTACAAGTACAAGCTCGGTACAACGTCCGCATAGTTCGTTGCTTACGATTTCGAGGAATGAGACTAATCTCGTCCGGAGTATCAATCAGGGCGAGGCCCAGCGACGAAGGTGCAGCTCTAGTTTGTGCGCCGCGTCGCCGCGCAAACGTCCCGTCCTCCTTCCCACTTCGCTACAAGCGTAACACTGGTTCACTAGTTTTTTTTTAGAGCGACGGTTGGATCATGCTAATGCTGCAAAGTAATCTCATTTCAGCAAGAAGCGCGTCGTCTCAAACAGGAAACTATTTCTGAGATTGAGATTCTGCGCCAAATTTCTGATCATCCATCAATAAGTATGTCTCACGTTTTTTGTTACCATAGTTTCGCGCTCGTGAGCAAGTCACTGACTGAGTTTAGTTACTATACACGACTTCCACTCAACTCCATCGTTCCTTTTCGTTGTTTTCGAGATGGCTCCAAAAGGAGAACTATTTGATCAACTCAACAGTACAGTAACAGTTTCAGAAAAAAAGGTTTTTCAATTATTTTTTCAAAGCACGATTTTCAGAAGTCTTCTTTTCTGCACCTTTCAGGCTCGCCGTCTGATGCGTCAGCTATTTGACGGTGTAGCATACATGCATAGTAGAAATATCGTACACCGCGACTTAAAACTCGAGAACATTTTGTGCATTGACGATGAAAGAATAGTGATCTCCGACTTTGGCTTCGCAACAAGACTCAAGGAAAACGAAACTCTGAGAGGTGATTTTCTTGCAGAACGAAACAACAGCAGATGTCGGCGCAATGGCCTTCGCTCACATTTACACCCTCATGATGTTTCAGAACTGTGTGGAACCCCTGGCTATCTTTCTCCAGAAATACTGAGGTGCCAGATGTACGAAGATGCTCCAGGATATTCGTATCCTGTTGACGAATGGGCTCTCGGAGTAATCATGTATACCTTACTTGCTGGTTACGCGCCATTTTACCATCGAAGTTAAGTTTTGTTTTTTGCAACTATGCATGCACGTTTGTCGTCTTCTTTTTTCTTTTCATGGTGAAATTTTCTGCAACAAACCAGCGTATCGTAATGCTATTTTGTTGCGTTGCATCAGAGCGCATAGTCATGTGCATTGTCGCTCTTTGCTAAGCTTGTTCGTTAACTTAAAATCGACTCAAGATGAGCAAAATTTTTGGTACAACTAATGCTTTTTTCATTGACTGATCTTCTTCGACCTAGTGCTTATCGTGATCCAATTCCATCATTTAGGGATGGTGCAGTAGCAGTTTTTATTGCTAACATAGTGGGAAAAATCTCGGGTAGCTCTAGCAGAGACAAAGGGAGCGCCTTGCATCTCCGAGGTCGTTCGTTTGGTATTCAGTGTTGGGAGAGTGAAAAAGTTGGTCGACAAGCCCTGCGGTTGTGTACAAGACTCATGCGCCATTTGGCAGTCGTGCTGACTGTGGTGTTTTCATAATCTCTACGTGCTTTCCCACGCTATCTAATAACGTCCTGCTCCATCAGCATAACACATGGAAGTTCTCACGCTCTACTTGAGGAAGGGCGTAACAATTTTTTTGACGCTTGTTTTCTAGTGCCCCGCATGGTTTGCGATTACGGTCAGCTCTTCAGAGGTAATGTTTAAGCGAAAATCGCGAGGAATTATCCGACATCCTAATGTGCAGTGACATTATTTGAGCGTGGAAAACATTTTTTTGCACAACATTCTGCCACAGCCCTACTGTTTGTCTTGTTCACAGACGTAGCACACCTTCACCATTAGTAACGCAGAAATCTGACGATCAATTTTTTGCATCTGAAGCCTTTTATTCATTCTATACAAAAAACCTTTTGTTATGGCGCTTTCTAAATACATCAAAATCGTATTGTGTATGGTGTCATTTCCTTCTTTTCTTCCTTCATTTATTTGTGTTGGATACTATGCTGTTTTGTTTAGAGAGTACCTGTCGCAAAAAATAGCGCAACCAATTAAGCAAGGTCACCCCAGAGGCTAGTACGCAATGTTGAGAGATAGTAGTGTGAGATGAGTGTCTCTCTAGCAACCTTCTAAGTGTTGTGACTTTGGGTATTAATGGAGGCATGCCGCCGCGACCTCACACATCCCAACTTTTACTACGAGGGACGTGGCCTACTTCATATTTGCCAAGGGAAGCGTGGCAGGTGGTTATAGCGACACATCGCGTCTCGTCTTAAGCTTTGCCCAAGCTTTGCAATTCCTCTGTCGCTCCTTTGCACCAACACAAAGCAATGCTCATTTGGACCTGTAACCTGTCGTCTTTTGGTTGTAATGTTGCATCTGTTCCTTGACATCCTAAAATAGATTTGATGGTTTCTCTTTTCTCAGTCTTCCACATATAATTAGCCACATCTCACTATTTCCTTATAATTCTTCCTCAGCGCTCAATTTTTTAGTTATGTAAAACCAGAGGAAGGTAAGTAGTTAGTGCGGGTCAAGGTTATCCCTTTCTGTAATTAGTTTTGAGGTGGTAAACTAAGTTTTCGAAGAGAAGGAAACTAGGTAATTTTCGCTGTTACTTTTATAACCCTTAGTTTAATTAATTAAAACACTTCATTCTAGATGTAACTGCCTTGGTTCTTGGCTTAAGCAGTGTGTCCCTCCCTTTAACTACATGACGTCCTCTTTTTAAATACGGATTGGAAACTCAAGAAAAACCTAAAACATACTCCTGAAAACTTGCGCTATTGCTTATTTTCTCATATTGATTTGATGTTTGTTTGCTAATTTGCTAGTCTCGCTGTTCAATTCTTTATTGCAACGCTGGTAAGCATATCACTTCCATGTGGTGCGCAGAGTGTCGAGTATTCGATCTAGTTACACCGTGAGGGCGTTTTCGATTAGGGAAACATCGGAGAGGGTATTAATAATAATAATATTTCAATTTTAGGCAGTTGCTCATGATGCGTATGATTCAAGAAGGCATGGATATCGAATTCCGAGCGTACCCAATGTCTACAATTACACAGGAAGCAAAGGATATGGTAAGCCTATCCAATGTTGGTTGAACAACAGGGCGACTTGCTATGCCGACGCTTTTGTTTTCCTTGGATTTTACGACTTCTGATGTGTATGTGTTTCTCACAAGTGGGGTGCATCCAAAAAATTCTTTTTCTGCATTTTGTGTTTTCAACCTGAAAACTAAGACCGCAGTCACACTCGGCGACGGAGGTCTGAGCAATTTTTGGTGAGCGACACATTCGGCGCGTTGAACTGTTGGGTAGGCATGTCAGACTCCCTTAAATTCCTCATACAAGGCCGTTTTAGTGTCAAAGTGAGGAGTTCTCAGGAGTAATAGTATAATAGTATGAGTAAGAGGTTGCAGTAATAGCGATCTTCAACCGGAATTCCCATTTATTTGATTCGTTCGCTTTATTTCAGATATCCGGTTTGTTACGAGTTAACGTAGCAGAAAGGCTTACTGCTAAACAATGTTTGATGGCACCATGGATGAATCCAACATCTGAAGCATATGTAAAACAGGATATGCGGAAGCTCTTCAGACAGGTTACTTGCTTTTGTTACTTCTGTTGTTGTTACCCGTTTCCTGCTATTATTTTTCCCAATCTGTTTCAGTCCATCATCCTGGTGCGATTTTTTTGTCGTCTTCAAAAGTACAAATATCTCAAGACCTATGTCGATCGCGAGTCTCTTCGGAAGCGTCCTTTCAGAGATCGGGAAGTAAGCATCTTAGTTTTTGTTTGTCTCGCAGATTTCTACGGAAATCGGGGAGGGGGTAAACGCTGAATACTCACAAAGATTTTAATACTTTGGATCTACATTTTTTTTGAGACGCTGTCAATTTTTTAATATACTTGAGAAGGAACTTCAAAATTACGTGCTCTTATAATACCAGCTCATTTGTTTATTGCTAATCTTCTTGCGTTAGCGACTTAAGATTCGTTGTCATTATGTAATTCCGAATGCTACGTTAAGGATATTAGTTCTTTCAAGAATATATTTTATAGATTCGACACGAGGCAGAGTCTGCGATCTTTTCTGTTTACGGTCACTGGGTAAATCGTGGATTTCATTATTCCCGCGACATGCTCTTCGCTAACAAGCCGCGGCCTAAATATCAGAAGACAGAAGCTTAGAGCATATCAGAGAATAGTGTTAGTCAGTGAATAGTTAAGTTTCTGATGTCGTTTATGAACCGAGATTCATAAATGCCTTTAGGTGCAATCTAGTTAGGAAGCTTGATCCGGTGTATGGATCGTTTATTAGCATAGGTCTTAAATATTTAGGTCCAACATGTTGTTATTTTCATAATAATGACTCTGGATATGGCCTGTAATAATGTTCGGTCAATTTTGTTGTGATCCATGTCTTTTATTACTAGAATAACTTTTTTGGACTTCCTGAAGTCTGTTTTGTTCCCATTTCGGCCTTATCAAGAGTATCACATGTTTTAGGATGTTTTCTTATCCTTTATTCTAGATTTAAACACTTTCGAGACGACGGTATTTCGTCATATGGCATTAGGTATATCACTTTTTTGATTGCTTCCAGATTTAAGGAGGGGTGGGGTGTATAAATTGAATTTTTGATGAAATGGGACACCTTTAGGTAAATAAAGCCCTGCTTTTGCTGTGTGATGCTGTCGTCGAAGTGTTTATATCTTCTAGCGCACTTCTAGGGCACTTGGTTTGAGTTAGTCAATATAGTTTTCAGCGTCGTATTCTTCTATTGTTGATACTTTAGCTCTAGTTGTACATTTTTGTATATACGTGATTAACCGGTAGTTGTTACTATTGTGTGGTTCGAAAAGCTTAAAGCGTTTCAGTAAAATGTCTTGTTTGTTACACATCAGATTCAGATTCCAGATTCATACCTAGCAGTTTTGCAAATGTACCTTATTATCTGTGGAAGTATTTGTTGAATAGAAGCAAACTCTGCTGCGCTTTTCAAGGTTCACCTGCTCGTTGAAATCGGATGGGTATAACTCTTTGAAGGGTCGTGGACGTGAATTTCAGTGAAGTGTAAAGAATACATTCAAAATGAGGTAAATATTTGAAGTAATCCCAAGAATGTGCAAGTGTGTTAGACCATTTGTGAACTATTCCGAATGCAGGATAGATGTTGACGGGTTAGAAGTGTTGTTCCCTTATGATTATGTCTACCCAGAACAAGTGTTGTATATGCAGGAGGTGAAGAAGGCTATCGATGCACAGGTAGGTTCAAATAGCTGTAAATAAGAAAAGAGTCCCGAAATCCCATTCAGGGGCACTGCCTTCTGGAAATGCCGTCCGGTACGGGGAAGACTGTATCGCTACTTCTTTGGTTGTGGCCTACATGAGGAGATTTCTGATCGCTCGGTACGAAGCATTGATTTTCCGATTATACGCAATACAATGTTGGAGTATACTCCCTTTCAGATAAACTGGTTTACTGTTCCCGAACAATTCCTGAGATTGAAAAATGCATGGAGGAGTTACGTGCTCTGTACAAATTCTATGAGCGGCAAACTGCAGTAAGAGTACCATTGGATTGGATTAATTAATAAGAGCCTATTCCTTCTCTGTGTTGTTGTTTTGTTCTTGCTTTTTACCTTTACACACCCTCTACTTTTAGGGCGCCATCTCCATTTGTTCGGCTGTTGCGATGTCTGCTCGGAAAAATTCTTGTGCATAAATAATTGTAAGCATCGTTGCAGCAAGGTAATCGTTTTCTGATGGCAGAGGTTTACTCTACAGATTCATGATAGCAACCTTGTGGAGCTATAACAAAAAAGCAGAGACTGGCCGGTCAAATAAATAACATTGTCTTCTATTTCAGCCATCAATACTGGCTAGTTAGCTGAAGGAATTGGAGCAATGAAGTTGGAATTTAGCACAGGAGTTACAATGCTCATGTTGGACGATACTTGTATCGCATAGGTGGACAGTTAAATGTTATTTAACGGCGCATTTCGCTGAGATATGTCGTCCTCGAATAACCTTTACCGAGTTACATTGTGCAGAACGACGCCTTTAGTTGAGTGATTGCTGACGAACCTTGTAAGGATAGCTTAACATTGCGAAAATAGTCAGAGAAATTGTCGAATAGTCGCATACTTGCATTATCATTTCATACTTTCATTCTGTCATGTTGCGTGCGATCAGGTTCATTGGTGGACGGTGGTTGTCAAAGGCTAACTGCTAGCTTCGTTCGCGCACGTCGTCAATTTGATCCGTCCATACCGGCGTGTTCGTTTTTCGAGACCCTCAATACTCAACAACAGTTCAGTCTCCCTCCTGGAATATACAACCTCGTGAGTTGTTCTCTTCATTCTCTCCCTAAAAAAGCTATAATTATGTATAAATAGGTATTATAGAGTGATCTTAAACAACTTGGTCGCGACCGTGGTATTTGTCCATACTTTGTCGCTCGAGAAGCGATAAGGAAAGCTTCCATAGTAGTGTACTCCTACCACTATATTCTCGATCCCAAAATCGCTGAATTAGTGTCGAAAGATTTCAGCCGCAGGTAGTCTTTTCTCTTCATTTTTTTTTGTATTTTTCTTCCTAGTTATAGAATTGATCAGCGAAAACGGATATTTGGGACTGTTCTGCCGTAGTTTTCCTCTTCACGTGCTCCTTTTCATTCGCTATCGCAGGGGCCACAGCTAAATGATTTCTCTTCAGTAATGCACCGTCGCAAGCGATTTTGGTTAAGCCAATAATGATGTGAAAGGGAGGTTGGGATCACATATTCTCACTTTGCTGACAATTCTTCAAAGAGCTAGCGACTAGAAAGAGATTCTGGAGGAACCTAGTTTTCAGCACTGCTTCCTTTTTCTCGTGATAATTTCTGCCATATCTGTGCTATCAGAGATGTCTGATACGTTATTGCATTGCAGATTTATTACTATCTCAGATCGTGTGTGGTGTTTGACGAAGCGCATAACATCGATAATGTCTGCATCGAATCTATGTCGATTACTATCACTCAAAAACATACAGAAAAGGCCGCGCAAGAACTAGTGAAGTGAGTTCTCAATATCTCCCAAAAGTTTAGTTTTCTACATCTACATATGTTACTCAGGTGAAAGAATTAACATTTTAGACTTGAGTCAGCAGTTCAGCGTATGAAGTCAGAGAATTCAGAAAGATTGCAGAATGAGTACGAAAAGCTAGTTGAAGGATTGAGGAGGTATCGTCATCTTTACCGTTTAGTGAACGGAAGGAAGGATTCGATTTTTTTCTCCTGCAATAAAACTTTACAGATCGGAACAGGAAAGAGCTAATGATGAGCGATTAGCGAATCCTGTTCTACCCGATGCGATATTACATGAAGCCGTTCCTGGTTCGATAAGGACTGCGCAACATTTTGTAATGTTCATGAAAAGGGTCGTTGAATACGTGAGGCACAGAATGAGGAGCTCTCAGGTTTGTGAAATATGATGTTCTCGATGAATAATAAATTCGATTTCTAGTAAAGAATAGGAACAATAAAGCATAGCCCCGTGGAATATATTTGTTGCTACTTCTCAGCTGTAACAAAACTGTTACTTAATTTTTTTAATATCAACGTTTTCCTTTCTGTTAGTCCCTTTTCTTAAGAAACATTCAGTTGGCTTTCAACTGTTGTGTTGACGGAATCCTTACGGTTACTGCTAACCATAAGTCACAACTTCCCCGCAGAATAGAGCGGAAGGGCAAGACTTTCTCTTTCTTCCATTTCTTCAAAAATTTCATGTTTTAGGTACTTCTCGAAAGTCCAGCCGCATTCGTGAAAGACATCCAGGATAGAATGTATATTGACAGAAAACCCTTGAGGTTTTGTGCTGAACGATTGGATAATCTGACGAGAACGCTCGAAGTTGCAGATGCATCTGATTTCCGATGTTTGTCCCAAATAGCTATCCTGGCTACTCTCGTGAGCACGTACTCCAAGGTTGGTCCCATAGTTTTTGTTGACTGATATTTTTTCTTACCTATTACGCTGTCTGAGCTTAGACATAATTTCGAAAATTGAAGTAAAATTCAGTAGTATTCCAAAAGTTCAGGGATTTTCCGTGATCATTGAGCCAAGTGAGTCGAATCAACCTGCACAATTAACGCTGTCATGTATGGATGCTTCAATCGCTATCAGACCAGTTATGGAACGGTTTCAAACGGTATGCTCGATCCATAGCCGAGAAATAACTTTCTACTGCTGAATGTTTTGTCATATTCTAGGTTGTGATCACGTCGGGTACCCTCTCACCGCTAGAGATGTACCCAAAAATCCTTGACTTCGACCCTGCTGTTATGGCTAGCCTCACAATGACTCTTGCTCGCCCCTGCTTGAGTCCTTTGGTCGTCGCGAGAGGGAATGATCAGGTAAACCTTTGTTGCATTCCGAAATGAGGTGCTCCTAGGAAGTGGAATGATCAGAGCTGCAACATCGGTTCCGTGGATTTTTGCTGCTGAATATCTCTGACGAAAGTTTCGTCAATGAAATTTGAAGCGGAATTGCTGAGAGAATAGTTAGAAGAAATCATTCGTTGAGCTTTATAACACGACTGCTTCGGCTCCATACTCAGCTATCCCATGTAGACAAACCATACCGCTAGCGCGGTGGAAATACGTCGCATGGAGATGTCCTCTTAGACACAGAGATCAAATTCCGAGTAGATCACTACGAAACGAAACCTTGATGAAAGAGTTTGGGTTCTAGAGAATTATTAATGGATAATCGCTTTGGAAAGAAGCCATGTATGATCTGAAGTGAAAATCAACTCGCAGAACTGGTTATCGTCCGATTAGAAACCTGTTTCACTCATATCATTTTTGTTCAGGTTGCGATGACATCTCGCTTTGAACAGAGGAATGATGTTGCTGTTATCCGAAATTATGGGAATCTGGTGCTAGAAATGGCTGCTGTTGTCCCCGATGGAATGGTCGTGTTTTTCACCAGCTACGTGTACATGGAACAAGTAATAGCTGTGTGGTACGATCAGGTGGATTTTAGAATAATCAGTATTAGTTATGATATTTATTTGTCAGGCGTTATAAAAATAAATTTTTCCTACTTCCAGCATGTGATCGACGAACTAATGAAGTCCAAACTTTTATTCATAGAGACGAACGATGCTTTGGAAACATCAGTAGCTCTGGAGAAGTAAGCGTTTCTGAAAGAAAAGCTATTTTATACAAGTCCTCAAGGCGGTTTCTAGGTATGTCGATGCATGCGATAGCGGTCGTGGTGCATGCCTTTTCTCGGTTGCTCGAGGAAAGGTTTCGGAGGGAATCGATTTCAGTCATCATCTTGGTTAGTTGTTACCTCGGCTGCTTCAGGCTCAGTCTCGCATCTAACATTTTGCATAATGTCTTTAGACGCTCAGTACTCTTCCTATCAGTTCTGAATAAAAGTAGTAGACGTGGCGCACCTAAGAAGGGATAAATCGCAGTTGAATGCACTTCCTATATCCTTTATTTTTCTAGGACGGTGTGTGATAATGCTGGGGATCCCTTATGTGTACACAGAGAGCCGCATTCTACGAGCGAGGCTGGAGTACCTTCGGGATCAGTTCGCAATCAAGTATGCAATCTTCTCTCAGCCGGATTGGCCTGATTAATGTAAAATTTCCAGAGAGAATGACTTTCTCACATTTGACGCCAATGCGTCACACCGCACAATGTATGGGACGGGCACTTCGAGGCAAGACAGATTATGGTCTCATGATTTTTGCAGATAAGGTTAGTTCGACGGCGAGTTTTGCCTTGTCCACAGTACTTGGCGATTAAGCGCACAGTCGCGCTTGTTGGCGCCACCTGCATGTGTGTTAAGTATTTGGTCATACATATCGGTTACATAACTACTTGAACTTTTCTCTATGTTGTCTGCAAAAAGAGTCTAGAGCGCAGTCTATCAGGATGGTGCCTATCGCAGCTTCTGACAGTGCCACACGGGATACGTACCAGGGAGAGTGAAGGGAATTTAAGGGTGGAGTGCGTGAGCCTATTTTCATGTGACAAAACTTTGAGCGTAGGAGGTCACAATGGTCTTGAGCCGCTATCAAGGCCAGAGAGTACAAACGAGTGCAGCTTATCGACACTTTTTGTAGGTCTGAGTTGAAGTAGCCTGTAGATCCATACATACCCATTATTTAGTTCGTACAGATATAAAGAAAGAAGCCAGTGCTTCGCTGCTTGTGTTTACTACATGATAATTTTCCAGAGGTTTTCACGTCAAGATAAACGCGGTAAACTTCCTCGCTGGATGCAAGAATATTTGGAGACGGCATCAACAAATTTGAGTATTGACGAGGCCGTGCAGTTGGCTCGACGGTAGGTAGTCTTTCGTTCCTTTTTAAATTATTCCTTCTATTATTTCACTTCCTCACAATTTCTTTCACCTACATTTCCTTGATTATTTCCAGATGGCTGACACTGATGGCTCAACCATTCACAAAGGCTGATCAGCTGGGTATTTCGCTTCTCACTTCCGACATGTTAAATCCGAAAAATATGAAAAAGTTTGAAAAAGTGGTCGAACATGTTGATTAATTTGTATAGAAACTCCAATAAGTGATCCGTTTTCGGCTCGTTAGATGTTCTCTGGTGACTGTTACAGGTGATCTTTGCTTTTATGTTATGTTA